GGGGGAAAAAACAGCATAAAAAATATTACCTTGCAAAATGTTAATTGTATAATGTTCGGTTTAATGTGCAAGCCTCAATTTCCAATTATTCCAATTATTCTGAAAACAGTTATATGTAAAAGGGAGAGATGCTACGGTCCCGTTATGGAATTATTCCGTTGAAATTTGTAACCGTTAGATCAAGTATCTCCGATAGTTACATGATGATCTACAAGTTACAAATCACGACGGAATGGTTCCGTAACGAGACCGTGGTATTTTCCTGTAAAAGGATAGTAGCGTCGGATTGTTGGTTATGAACAAAAAAGACAGGGTTCAAATATCGGATTGGTTATTTATTTACAAATACGATGAAAAAAGTTGCAAATCAAACAAACGATTAACGCTGACTATAGTAAAATATATACTACTATTTAGGTATTATGATAATTTCAAAGAAAATGTGGGGCTTAAATCAATTTTCAAGATGACAAGCAAATAATGCCATGGAACTCGCGTTTGAGAGAGAGAGAGAGAGAGAGAGAGAGTTGGACAAACTCATTTTGAGTTTGGATTTTATAGTTCGGTTGGAGTGAATTCTACTCTATTTGTTGGGTTTTTGGTATCGGGTGGAGAAGGTCTTGCGACTTTGGTTTACAGTCCTACCGATATGGGTTTTGGTATCGGGTGGAGAAGGTCTTGCGACTTTGGTTTACAGTCCTACCGATCTCAGCAGCCTGCATTTTCCAATCAAAACAAATGCTAGTCCCAACATTGAGTCACAAATCACTGCCAAAAACAAAGAGAAATTCATAAAAAGATAAATTTCAAGTCGGGCAACCCGTCAATTGCTCCAAAAACCCAAAACAACATCAAAACATAATTTTGCAACACAATCAATCCATAGCTTCCAGCAGGCACACGACCGTACAACAACACTTACGATGCTAAAAGGGCTTCAATTTTCGTAATCTGATCTTCCTCGTTCTTCGGGTTTGGGCTCTTGTTGGCCTCATCATAAAGATCGTGCTTCCACTTCTCTACACGCCCCCCACCCGGCTGATAGTACCCTTGCCTGCTGTTATTAAACCTGTCTCTATCTCCTCTGTATCTATTGCCGCCAACATTACCACCATATCTATCACGGCTATTCTTACCAAACTCTCTTTCCCTTGCAGATGATCTGTTGGGCCTGTCTGAACGATCCGAAGTAAATCTGCTCATGTCTCTTTTCCCACTTTCCACAACATTATCTTGAACCTTTTGCTCGGCAGTTTTTTCAGTTTGCTCGGGACCAACAGGGGCCTTTTGCTCTCTAAAGGCACGTCTTTTACTACGCGCAGGAGGTTTTTGATCTGCCTCCATTCGGAAATACCTGTCATGTTTCCAGACGTGATTTCCATCTCTGCTGTCTTTTGAAGTCTCGTCATTTAAGTAACTTCTCGGCATTTTTGCTTCTGCCCGACTGTTTTGGCGCTCCTTGGAATCCCTCCACCAACCACGTTCTTTATTTTTGTTTAACCAAATTATAGCATCAGAATCGGGAGGAAAAAGTGGGAAGTAATAACGATTGGAAAAAGCTGAAAGCAGGTCATATTAAAGACTTTACCGTTGTCCGTCCTGTGACTGGAGACCCTCCCATTTGGGCCACCACTGGCACGTTCGTCATGCTGTTATAAAAACACAAGCACAGGCAGGCCCAACACTGTTATATAATCATGGTGTTTGAGACTTTGAGGTCACCAAGGCTGAACCCAAAAAGGAAAATAAATCCTGGGGTAAAAGGGAGGTCACCAAGGCTGAACCCAAGAAGAAAAATAAATTCTGGTGTAAAAGGGGTTTCCAAATAAATAACAAACAATTCAAGGACCACCTCGATGCACAAGTAGGTCTTTTCTAGTGAACTAGTGAGTAGCAATTCAACAGTATAGAAGTCTTATCAAGAACTACGTGCCTCTTGAGAAGGGAACGAGAAAATCTTTTAGTAAAACTAAAGTCAAACAAGAGGCAGCCACACACATTAAACCTTAAATTGATGGATCAAGAAAATTGCAGTGTGTCCTCAAATACTTGACTGATTCTGTTCCGAGCTGCAAATCCAGAACTACCATAGAAATTGATACGACCCAAATAATAGAACAACTTAGCAAGAACCTAATTAGCAAAGAGCAGTAATGGTTAGTAGAAAAATCATTCAAAAGACCTTGCATTGGAAAAAGACTATAAAATTAAAAACTATCAACTAATGCATGTAATGCATTATAACACGACACAAACTTCTTGTGGATTAAGATCCGTGAGTTGTATGAAAAATCATACCTGAAAGTATGATCGTGACTGAGGCACTTTAGTTTGATCCGAAGATCTTTTGGTACTTTCCTGAGGTTCATTGACTCTGTTATCAGTGTCTTTCCTCACAGCTAATGGGGACTCAAGCGGCAACGGGTCCCTCAGTCGACGATGATGCCTCTGATCAGAGTCCCGATCTCTATCCGACTTAGTTTCTGGAGGTGGCCTTTCAGATTCTACTTTGATATCCCTCCTCGATCTCTTCGGGCTTGCAGTATTAACAAAACAATCTTACATTCACTAATCGGACATTTGAATCCAACTAACTAAGAGCTACAATATTCATAAACAAGCATTTCGTATTCAGGGTCTCGAGCTGTTTAACCAATTAGGGAGTTGAAATAGCAGTACAGACAGGTTAAAGTTACAACATCTTATACTCATAAGATAAACTCAGTATGAACAATACTTACAGTCCTCAAGTATGATCTTTTGCAACTATGGAAAAATTGCCATAAGAAATGGAACTCAATCAGTAAAAATGATGCTAAATCAAATCTGGAACTCTCCAACTGGCAAAGAATAAAAACTGAAAAAAATAGTTATGCTCATAGAATTGTTTTTTATTACTCATCAATCAGTAACAATATCTTCTCGAACAGGTGAAACGAAACCCTCCGAAATTCAGTAAAAAAAGGTGAAGCAAAGAGCTCACAACACGAGAACCAAGTTTATAAACAAAACCCTAAACCATCACTTCCATTGAAGACCTGAAAACCAGTAAACGGACAAAAAAAGAAAGCACGGCAGAAAAAAGAAACTGCAATTGCATTTCCAACATTTTACCTGGGCTCGCGGTCGAACCGAGAACGGTGTCGTCTTGCGTCGGAGCTACGGTCTTCTCGGCGTGACATGACTGATAGTTTATTAGATATCTGAACGCCAGTGACCAGCGGCGGAGAAGGGGCTGAGGTGATTTCGATCTGCGGCGGGAGGAGGGGATTTTGAGGTCCAATGGAGGAAGATGGAACCAATTTATCGGGTCAGCTCACGACCCAATATCTCGTCTGGTTATCTGTTTTGGGTCGGGTTCATTTTCTTTTGTACTACGACCCAACGGGCCCATCTTAGTAACAAAATACAAAATGGAATTTTTTTTCCCTACAACTCTACTACATACATGCAATTAATTGTGACTTTGCCTAAAAGACAATATTTATTTACATCTATCTATATCTAGTATAGAGCCCGTGTGATGCACGGGGTGCACAATTTTAAGGTCATTTATCCATTCTTATATATTATATAAATGAATAAAAAAATTTACGGAATATATATAGTACGTGACCTGTAATAGGCCAAAATGTGAACACGGGTGATGCACGGGGTGCACAATTTTAAGGTCATTTATTAGTATAGAGCCCGTGTGATGCACGGAGTGCACAATTTTCTAGTATGTGTAATAAAAATACATACCGTATGCACGGGACAGAAGCACTAAATGAGTCATTTCCACAGAACTTGCCCGTTAAGTAGCTCCTGAACAGGGGTTTTACAATTTGTAGTACGTGCCATAAAATCAGAACAGATTTTCATACAATTAGATAATAAATTAGATAATAATTAAAGCCTTTTTATTTTAGTAAAGATTTTACGTACTTTTTTTTTACTTATCGGATGTTATGAGATTTTTTTGTTAAACCAATTTTATGGAATATAATACAAATACAATTAGAAGATTGAACAAAATCAGAACAGATTTTCATACAATTAGATAATAAAAAGGAATTAGATAAGGAAAAGAAGGAATTAGATAAGAAAAAGAATGAATTAGGTAAGGATTTTTGAATCTGACTTTTTTTTTTTTGATAGATAGACTTTACGTACAAATTTTGACTTCACTGATTTTATGGAATTTATTTTGACAAAATCGATGTTAATATGGAATAAGACAAATAAATAAAGTCTTTTTATTTTAGTAAAGATTTTACGTCTCTTTTTTTTTACTTTTCAGATGTTATGGGATTTTTTTTCTTAAACTGATTTTATGGGATATAAGACAAATAAATAAAATAATTAAATAAAATTATGGATAAAAATAGCAATGCATTAATTACATTGTCTTTTCAATCTACTAAATTTGGTAAATAAGACACTTTATATAATAAGTATAGATACAAATAAATAACATGCCAAAATTTTAAAGAATAATTAGTGTATTTTAATTTATTATCTAGTCATCAGTAATATCATTTAATGATGTGATCATTATCTCTTAAACGATAAATAAAATATTAATTTAAAAAAATATTTGTTTTTTATATACTCAAATAAAAATTAAAAAATACTATCGACAAATATGAATTATAATATATATTAGTAAAATCATTGCAGAAGTTAATAAAATTATTTAAGGAAATAATCTTTTTGATCATATTTGAGTAGGAAATGTATATATGCAAGCAATTAATGCATATAGTAAAAAAATTTTAAATAAAGTATGCATTAAATGTGAGTTGATTTTTCTTACTACTATTTTTAGTAAATAGTATGGCTTTTAATATAAGTATATATATCCATATCTATATCTATTTCTACATAAAGAGACAACATATTTACCAAAAATAGTAACAAGAAAAGTCAACCAACATTTATTGCATTCTACTTTTGACAGTTTTTATTTTTTTAAATTATTCGTAAAAAATCAATCAACTATATATGCACCCTAAATTCATGAGTTTTGTAGACTTAATTTAGGTAAACTTCGACTGATGCTTACAATTTTGCAAAAGTCAAAATTCTTTCTTATTTTTCATTTTAAGAAATAAACTGATTACCATAAAATCGAGAATTTCGAATTAGTCAAAATATTATCACATATATCTTTTCCTAATTGTAACAGATTAATTATTTATTAAAAAAATTGGATTGCATAGAAATCGAGTTAAATTGTGTAAAATTCGTACCATAAAATCGAGAATTTTGAATTAGTTAAAATATTATTACATATATTTTTTACTAATTGCAACAGATTAATTATTTATTTAAAAAATCGGATTGCATAAATATCGGGTTATATTGTGTAAAATTCGGCATCACAATTTTGCAAAAGTGAAAACTCTCTCATTATTTATTAAAAGAAATATGTTTACTATAAAATCGAGAATTTCGAATTAGACAAAATACTGAAACGTGTATGCTTACCTAATTGCAACATATCATGTATTAAAAAATCGGATTGCAACCAACAGAGGTTGACTCAAGTGGTAAGCAGCTTGATGTCGCTTAAGTAAGGTCTCAGGTTTGAGTCCTTGTGGATGTAGAAAACCCTTGTTGGGAGACTCACACACCACTGTCAGGTGTGCTACCCAGGTCGACCACCGGATTAGTCGGGGCATAGCTCCAGATACCGTGGCTGGCTACAAAAAAA